TCGAAGCTGAAGTAGAAGACGGTATAGATGTTCAGCCATGCATGTAATGCTCCTACCCCGGTGGGGCGGACATATCGTATTCAGCTGAGATCAAAGCTAGGGACATTCTGATGACAAACAACGTATGTGTGGAACAACAATACAGACTACTCTGTAGTGTTTATTGCATTCCAGAACTAAAGTGTCGTCTTGATAAAATAGTTTGTCAACAATACATGTTACTTAAAACAATATTAGAAATATTGAAATTTCACCCATTAAATTTGGAATTTCAATATCAAAATAGTAAAACAATAAAAATTAAACCGAACGAAGGAGTTCCATCAATTCAAACTTTACGTACAATGTTTATGTGTTTCAACAGGGCAGTTATGATATAAAGGTCAGCAAAACACGAAAAGATTAGATATTGATAATAAAATCCTGAATATACCTGTTTCAGTGATATTCAATTTCTTTCTTTCTTTCTTTGATCTATGTTCCAGTTGATGCGTTTTATCATGCTATTTTCCTTAGAGGAATTAATACGATTTAATTCCATCACAAACACCCTGTTGAAACTTCCTATAGACATTTCGGCTATGGTTGCAGTTAGGATAAAATGATATCTTAGTTTTAACTTTTTCCTATCTCATTTTGATTAAACCGAATCTGTGAGACTTGGTAAGTACGAACACAAGTTGTCTCTATTAATTAATCAGTTAAATGCAAGACTAGAAATTTTGATTCTAGTTCTCTGTTGCCATTTTAAAATTTCAGACCACTTTTAGGTAATTCAGTTTATTGACAGTATATCTGACACCAGGTACTGAGCTTACTTATTAATTTGTTGATTTATTTAACGAACGGGTTCTACATCCACTATTATGACCTTTCAGCCTTTCAGTGGACGAGCTGAACTTACTGTACTGTAGGCTAATACTATCCTACAGATTCAGATTTCAACACATTAACTTGCGGTAACATTATATCATCAAAACTATGACCAATCAGAAACGCAGTAAACAGATTAGACCATAACAAATCGGATGATACAAAATCATCGGATTAACAAAAATCTATATATTACCTGTTGATTTTGTTTCTAATGTATTGGATGGTTGTGCAAGATATAATTCCTTTCGTGACTGCCTGTTTGAGGACAAAAACACTAACACATTGATACCGAAAGAGTAATAAGTTGACTCGAATTTAGCTGGGATATGTTTTAATTGCATGATACACGAGAGCTTTATCGCAACAGCTACCTGGTTTTAGGATTAATTTGTCTGGATTTTCTACTCAGTCTTCTAACTCTATTAAAATAAAACTGCCTTGAAATTCAGTTTCCCGCCTTATATTTACTGATGTCACAAAAATTCATATTTCATTTGCGCTTTAATCAATTCAAAGCTTAATTTACGATCTGTATTTTAGTACAATTTGCTGTATTATTTTTTCACCACTTTATCGAAGCAGCTAATAAATCTTTATCGAGGAAAATTGATTTTCCTTGATGTGCTTGTATGGTTGGAAGTATTGACCATTAAATCAATATGTGCCTAATAAATCCTTTTATGTATGTGACTCCTCTTAAAAACAATATTCAGTTTTACAATTAGCTTATTATATATGAATATGCTTTGATGAAGATATGTTTTCCATAAATTTCCATTTCAAAAACCATATATCAAATCAGGACATTATCTAGATCTTCCAAATACATAAATTAGTATAAGCTGTAACTTTGTATAAGCATGTACTGGCGGTTTTCATCTTTCCACTTATCAAAGGCAGTTGAAGACTGATATGTTATTTGCGTATGTTTAATATTATAAAAAAAATCTCATGAAGGCTGATTGCTAGACGCACAGTTCCGTAATGATATTGCAGGGCGTGTTATGAGAAAAACTACGCCACCTCGTGATCGTATATTATTACATGATCCACATTCTTTGTAATCGCACCTGTCAACGGTTATACATCCTCACATGCATTATGCGATCGCTCAACCGTCTTAAATCAATTCACAATCCATTGTGTAAAAAAAAGGAATGCTAATTTGAATGTCTCAGACTTACGGTGTTTAACGAATACTTAATTGTTGAGTTTCCAACATGGACGTGAAACATATCAGTCCACGTTATCATGATTTATAATCATCAAGTTATTTGCCTACATCGACATGCCTTTTTAGGTGGTAGAATAACTTGTTATTTCTAACTTATATTGTCGTCAGGTTAATAGCAAACTTGCTTCCAAGTGAATTTTAGCAAATGAAAACACATGTTAGAGATACAATTTCAGATTTAATACAAAATTAAGACCAAAAGATTTTTAAAAAAGGAAAATGGAGAGACTCTGGTGTTAAACTAAACGCCATACAAGTCTTTATTAAAGGCATTTTAGTACAAATGGCAAAATGCTGATGGACGATAATTTTCGTAATGATGATAGCCTAATGTTTTCTGTAAAACAATTTTGCACTACTGGGAGAGATTACATAACATAACAGAATCAACGAGATGTGTTTACGATACTCAATTCCTCTGATTCTAAATCTGTATAGTGTAAGGCATGTGATAACTGCATGTACACTTTGTGAAACACTGATATCTTCAGTGTGGTAAAAATTTGTTTTTCTATTTCATTACAAATAAATATCACTTAAAACTTGAGTCTCCAATAGCCCTCCCCCTTATGGTGCAATAGTTATGGTCAATGCTATTTTTTTCGCATGTAGGTCAAAGATCACGGTCAAGGTCACATGATCAAAGTTTTGGTACCACCGGAAAGGTCGTATCACGAGGAACAAACATGCCTGATCTAAAAAGCTTTACCTCTTACAGTACAATAGTTATAGGCAAGGTTAAATTTGACAAACAAACAACAAAACAGACAGCACAATAACAATATGCCCCCGATTTTTCGATAAGGGATATAAAAGGGAAAAAGGTGTCATAGCAGCAAAATTTGCTCGTGTAACCAAACTTCATACTAATATGTCGAAATGTCTAAGTAATGGTCAAAACAAACAAGGAAGTTGGGATTTGGGGTGCACACTTTATATATAATATTCTGATCTGAGGTGAAAAATATGAAAAGAAATGTTTACACATAGACTACTGAAAATGTACATGTAGAATAAGACCAAGTGTTCCGAAAGAGTAAGCAACTTCAGTTTCATCGAAGACGCCAGTCATCATAATCTTGGCCATGAAAATCTTGGCCATTCAAAGTAAATAATGCCACGTTCCATATGAGAACAACGTATACAACAACGGAACCAACAGGCAAGCAAACGAGCATCAAACACGTCCAGCTTCATATCGTACAACAGAACCAACAGGCAAGCAAACGAGCATCAAACACGTCCAGCTTCATATTGAACATAATGAATATTTCTCCATGAGATCAGTAACACAACCATAAAACTTCATAACAAGAGAAAAAAGACGTTCTTTCAGTTTACAATGGGATATATTGCTGCACAGAGTTGAAATATCAAATGTTTTCAGAAGAAAAGCTGTATTTGATAGGTGGAATTATTTCAGTGTGACTACATGTTGTACACTGAATATAAACTCCTATTTGTGAGGTGATATTTATAGCACGTGTCTTCGTTGTGTATACTGCAAATAGTTATAATTCAAGATGATATTTTTGTGTATCTTCCTGATATTTATGGTATACAACATTCCATGTTTGGATTTCAGGTGATAAATGTAATGTGTGATTTCATGGTACACAATGCATATAGCAGTTCCTATTTCAGGTGCTATTTTTGATGTACGACTTTGTGAAATGTAGATTATAATTGCGGTTTGAATGATGTTTATAGAAGTTACACAACGAATGGTTGAGGTATATGGTAATTCTTTCATTTAAGTGATTTTTTAAAAGCTACAAATTAAAATAAACATATTAACTTTTTATTGCGCAGTCATATTTCCTTGAACTCCTGATTCATCTTGTCAGTCAAAGTTAATCCTGTCAGCCAATCAAAAATTGCTAAAGTGTTATACCAAATATTGTGTAAATGTAATTTTTCCAACAGTTGTAATGATTTATTAATTGCTTGGGAGGTGAATAGCACCCATTTATTGTGACAGTAATGTCATTTAACACTTAAAGAGCAATAGGTGTCATTTTTACCGTTATACAAACTGTATTATTTCATTGATACTTTCATTAATACACGTAAACAAGTCTTTTACGAAGTAAATAACGCGCAGCGGACATCACAACAGGTAGGATTGACACTATCCAATGACGCCGTGTAAATATAGATTAAAAGCTCAATGACTCTGCTTGGCTACTGTTGCTGTTGGAACAAATAATGCTGTATAATCCAATATACGGGAATATCACAGTTTCATTATTTCGACATTCGCAGAAAACAAATGTATTTACGGCTCAAATTTCATGCTGGTATTATGATAATTATATCGCAAAAATCTGTACACAGAAAAAGCGGAAAGTGTCATTTTAAATCTATAAACTGTTTGAAAATAAGTTAAAGGGTAAGAAATTTAAGTGTGATTTTACAACCCGTATTTAATTTTCAAGTTGAGGTGATCATCAAACGTCGTATAGCAATACTGAGTATTCACTGATTTATGCGGGGAAGGTGTCATGCTTGACTTGCGTCACTGTCAGAAATATTATCGTCTGCTGAGAGTCTTTTAAAGAAGAGAGAAATATATAAAACGAATGTAGTTCTAATGTCATGTGTATGTCTGATCACTCAATCAATCGCTCGTAAATGCCATTGTTTTATCCATATAGGACACATAATGCTATCGTTTCCTGTTTTCAAGGTATTCACTAGGTTATCTGTCGATCCAGCTTTTCACCTACGTCTACCTTACCTGAGCATGTGTGTACACTACCACATGCCACAGACACAGAACACAACCAGAGAAAACACTCGTTATTTCTGGTCCGCCATATTTGATGTTGATAAATAAATAAAAAATAAGGCTTCTGGTTAACAAAGATCGTCTGTTGATTTGACTTACCTGACAATGGCCATCATTATCCTATAGGTGCCTTTTTTCCTCATGACTATGTGGAGGGCAGTTTCCCCTGCTTGATCCTGGGCATCGATATCTACATCTTTACATACCAACATATATATGGCCTGGATTGTCTCTGGGGTACAAAACCTCTCCCCATGCCGGACAAGAAGATGAAGCAAAGATTCCCCTGTAGATTCATCTTTCAGGTTGACATCTTTTCCACTTTTCAAATAGTCCCAGAGAGTCTTCATCACAGCGTCTGGTGTGCCATTTATGATGGTTTTGTACAATTTCGACTTTTTGAAATTCATGATGGCAGTGAATTTCCTTTACACCTATAGGAAATTGACGCTGAAAGCGATGAAAAAGTCACCATACGACAGATTAAGCAACTGTCGCTATCGGCTGAGGAAGAGAATGATTGTATGTGAGCGCTGTCCTATTTTGTTATGTTGTGAGCAGACGACATCTGATTCAGTCTGTTGTAGTATGACAAACTCTCTCCTGTGTCGATCAATGCCTATACACACACATTTGTTTTGATATACTGGCAGTCTTACAGGTGACACGGGCTTTAATAACATTCGTTGCGAGATTGACTGACTGTAGGTAAAATCCTGACCATCCAACCGTGGCCTCGGTAAATGCCTGATGGCCTTGGCCACATTCGTTACGTTGAGAGTGGGAGCTCAAATCCTGTTCCTTTGTTCCGCGTAAGGCGTTTCATTATACACTTTTATAAGCCCAACCCTAGACGGGAACACAGCATGTATTGTATTCGAGGTTGTCTATGTGAAGATATAACGGGACAGGGGTTCAATATCACTGGTCTGCGTTCAGCTTTAATTATATACGGGAGTTTAATTTTATGGGTGTTATAAATATTACTGTCGATTAAACAAAGGTTATGTTTTGTAACTTGTATAAACATTTTTAATTTGTTTATTCACCGCTGTATTGCAACTTCTGGATTTACCTGGATGCATTTTTTTTAAACTTCACGTGTACCTAAAGCGGTTTACATATTACTTGCGAAAGGGGATTCGTACATTATCTTACCCTTGTCTTTAGCACTATGGAACTGAAAATGACAAAACATTTCTAGAGAGTTTTTATTCTGTTTTATTTAATTTCTTCGCAAAATATTTTATAGCTAATCTTGAGAAAACGGATTTATACATTATTTCTCCCTTGCCTTTTGCATCATAGAAATAAAAATAACAAAACATTTCTAGATTTTTTTGTTTGCAATATTTGTAGCTAAGCTTGAAAAACGGGGTTTTATACATCATCTTCCCCGTTCGTTTTTGCATCAGGAAACTGAAAATGAAAACACATTTCTAGATTGAATTTGACTCAATTTTGTGAAATTCAATTCATGCTAAAACTGATGTTAATGATTATATCTAGCTCAAACACAACTACATTTTTTGACAGAATCTGTCCTTTGAGGAAGTCTTACGAAATACTCGTAATTGTAGCTAATAAAAATAACATCATTAACAATGACGTCATTTTCTCCGAAATGAAGATAGCATAGAACAGCCAATAAAAACGCTTGTTTCGGGGCCATTTGACAGTCGTATTATCATTTGTCAAACAATATCTTTTGAAGAACAATCATTATCTGTCATGTCATGTATACATAATGAGTCGTATAAAAAAAGAAAAAATAGTGTATTATTTCCAAATCATCATTCGATACAATGACGCTTGTGTCTGATCCATATTAAACCTTAGCAACATAGATATACATATACCTAAATATTCTAGTGAAAGTCTTCTAAATTTAAAAACATATATCCCCCTTTCAAAATGTCATTTCCGTTCTGAAATTTACATTTACCCTGTAACTGCAATTGATTATTAAGTACGTTTTCCTAACCATTTTGCGGTTTTATCTTGTCAACATATGTGAGTTTGGATGCTATCTTTCCTGGCTGACCTTAAAGAACATCTCAAAACAAATATAACACATTTGATGCAGTGTGAAAGTAGTTGCAGCTTTAAAACTTCTTACCTTGTTTTTTTGATGGTAAAAATATTTAACAACTTTAAAAAGCTTTTAAAAACACACAGATTTCTTTGTGATACAGATATGTATTTTTGTAACGTAAAGCGCCAGGGACTGGGTCAATACTGAAATAAAAGAAACAACAAAACGTGGCCAACAAAAATTAAAAGGCGTGACCGAACCTTTATCTTTCACGTTGATGATAGATAATATAGGATTTCTTAATGTTTGTGACTTCCAAGTTTACAGGTTGATCTATCACCTTAGTGCGATATGTGTTACTAGGATTGGCAGTCAAGCGTTTTCTTTCCAATGCATTGTACAACATGTCGGTTATAATGACGTCATTGCCGTGTTGTAATAGAAAGATCCCCACAGATTAAATTTTCTTCTTGTCGTATTTCTGTTATAATGTGTCACCGTCCTGTTATACTGTATTCAATTTCTACATTATTAAATGACATGAACAGTGTTGACAGTCTCATCTTGTAAACACCGAATACAGGTAAGTTAGCATACAAAATAAAGTGAATAATGCTCAGAACATATTATTGTCGTGTTTGAAGTGTTCATACAGGTTGAATGTGTTAGTCACTATAATATACTAGGTAGTTCTAACGACTGAAAATAAATGTTGCACAGGAATAGTCAATTTAACAAAAGGGAAGGTATGAAATAATAATGATAATGAAAATACTAATAACGCATTACAGAAAACGTGAATATATACAAGGGGGATATAAACAGATGCTTCGAAAGAGTAAACGTCCTCTGTTTTAGAATTTTAAGGCACTAAAAAAGAAAAAAAAAGTTAAAAATAAGTCGATTCATGTATCACATTACCTCAAAACACACAAGAAACATGTTTATGCTGATTTGTTTTCCCCAAGAAACCTTTTCATGGTGACATTTACGGTTTAGATTTTCAATCATAGCGATACTGAAGGTAATGTCTCGTTAATGGATTTCGTGTAGATATCACAGGAAAACAACGCCCTCAGATAGGTCCGTGTATTAACATATATTCAATGTCTGGACATATATACCAGTTCAATGACATGAAAGATGTCGAATTTATTTCGATGAAATAAGCAGGCTTGCCAGATTAAATTAAAGATAATTCATAAATTAACTTATTCATTTTTTTCTCCTGAGAATGCAAACAAAAAGATCATACGAAAACTTCAGATTTCAATGTTAAAATATTTGTGGAATATTTCAAATCGATACAGAATCTTATGAAACATGATACAGACATGCAATTTAATACATTGTTGTTATTGAAGTTCTGGATGAATGTTTATGAAGCACTTATTACGAAACACAACAGCGTAAAGGAGAGCCCAAAAATAATGACGGGTATTGCTTACTGGTAATTATGAGGATTCTTTAAAGCTAAGTTCTACATTATAACCATGCTCTACATGATACCCTCATAACTATTGGCAATGTCATCAAAACGGTTCACTTGTAAATCAACCAAACCAATATGCTCGATTTTAGTACAATGAATTGAAACGTTACACCACATTCTAAAGATTGTTTGTGATGTTTAAGATCCCAGCCAGAAAGAAAATGTTGTGTCATGCTCAATCGTTCGGTACGATATCAGTAACACTATACAGAAGACACACGGTTTTGCGAACTATTTTGGGCACTTTTATCTGATAGTCAAAGCTATCGTCTTACCTTGAAAACTAAGGTCGATACATATTAGTGGCATGGATTTTCATGTAAATAACAATGATGTTACTTTCAATATATCATTCGAAAACAATATTACAAAAAGACACGAGAAACAAAATGAAAATTAAGATTAATATATCCGTCTCCTACATGAGCCATTTCTGTATCAAAATTATATGCATTATACAATTAAAACACAGTGTTCGGAAACAGCAAAATTAATGACATGTTACTTTTTACCTGATGAAGACTAAATATCAGAGTTGAGTATTATGCAGTACAGTTGTATTTCTGATAAATGTAATTAAGAATAGTAAATACCTTCATGAGCGTTTAAAAGAATAATTTCTCATGTGTGAATATTTAAAATCACACAAGTTATCTATTTCAGCTTAACTAAATATCAGAATTTGCAGAAGTGTACCTTACATGAAAAAAAATATTGCAAGCAGTCAAGCATCTCTGAATTTTAGCTGCTTTTGAAGGTTTCAACGCACCACCGACGGACGTAACGACGACGTTGTATTGATTCCATCATATTCACAGATCTGAATACATTTTCAAGGCTTTCAAAAGTAATAATAAGGACAAAAATCATTATTATATAATACAGTTGTTAGTAATTTATGTCTCTTGTGCGTTATATGTGTATTCGGTTATACAATAAATATAATAATATAACATACCAATGACACGTGACGTACAACAATGAATAGCCAACATGCTGATACAGTCATTTTAAGAACATTTGCAAAATCTATACGCTACACATGTATTTATTTTAAGCTTCACATGTTATTTTAAAGCACGTCAACACTAGACAAATCACCATCAAGACATGTACATATGATCGTCACGAATTGGAAACATCGAGAAAATACCAACACGGCAACATAATAAGAATCCAAACTCAAATTCCATAAAACTAGGACAAAATGTAAACACAACATTAACACGGAGATTCCTGAAAAAGTACAGGGAAAATAAGACCAGGTGCTCTGGAAGTGTAAGCGTCTTCTGCTTCATTGACGACATCTGCCATGTAAACCTTGGTCAATCAAAATTAGTAATGTCACGTTCTTAAATGAGAACAAAGAACGGAACCAACTGGCAAACTAACGAGGATCAATCGTACATTGTTTTATATACATTTTCCTCTGTTACTATACACGATGTACACTTCAAGCCAAGAGATGGATACCCAGTCATTGACAAGGTCATATAAAGCATATACGAAATTCGGGTATGGACTGGAAGCTACAGGCAACAAAGGGTATATTCATTTCTTATTGTTTATGATATTATTAGATAAATACTTTCGCCATCAATTGTTCCATTACGATATAATGTTTATAGTACCAGCCTAAACCTCTACGTTTTTGCCACTAGTATCCGTCTCCTTGGTGATGCTTCAATATTTTCTGTCGAAGCATGTGTCATTCATCTGGCACTCGATTATATCAAATATAAAAAATAGTCTCATTGTCCTCAGACTCGCTTTTTCTCTTGGAAATTTAAAACCATGTCATTTTTAAATGCTTTAATCAGAAACATGATTCTGAAAATAAAGATCCAAAGGTTTTCAGGTCATGTTGAAACGTGGGTTATGAA